AGTCACCAAATCAAGTACATGAGAAATTAATGCTCTGCACATGCCAGTACGGACACTACGTTTTAATGTGTCAGATACGTGCTCAGACACTATTTATAATATTCCGTGACCGGTATTAACAGTGCTCTAAAGAGAATCAATCAATGATTAATAATTACCAGCAATGCGATTTCTTTCTAAGAATTTGCGACGTTTTTCTTCTGCAGTTTCTTCAGCATCTTCGGCGGAACGTTTTTTATTTCCACTAACGGAGGCATTTCTTGTCGAAGAAGAAGCATTACTAGCATTATGCACTCGAGACATAGTTGACTCATCAATTGGTGAGGTTAACGTGCTATTTGTCGCGTTTTGAACCACCGTAATATTACTCACGGAAGTTTTTTTGTTAACACGACGTTTTTTTTGAGTCGGTGTTGTTTGATGGGACGGAGGTGGTGTGGGTTGAGTGGAGTTTAGTTCATCGATGGCGTTAATATCATCTGATTTAACCGGCGATAAATTTTCGCTGGGCTTCTTTGTAGAATTGCCATAGATGTTATTCGAAGATGGATGTTTGAGCGATTCTTGACCATTAAAAATATTATCATTGAGATTATTTTGAGCGCTTTTTTTGGATATCTCTACATAAGACTTCTTGATGATGATGATCTTGGTCATCATCAGTAACCAAGCTTGGAGTAGGAGAGTGGATTGGTACGATTGTCGGTGTAGTCATCAAAGGATTCTCAGTAACGTTTGACGTGTGAGGAGAGTAAGAAGTAACGATGGGACTCGGTGCAGGAATAGCCGCAGTCGAGGTATTAACGATTAAAATCGGATTATTAGGTGCTAAGGAGTCAAAGTTCCCAGCGTTAACATAGTAATCGTCTTTTTTTTGCGTTCCATGGCAAGCCATCGTTTCAGATTGAGAAAGTTTTTGAACACTGTCATCAAAAATATTAAGATCCTGACCGAATGTACCAAACGATGGTGTCATTGCAAAATCACCACACACGTTAAGAAAACGTGAAGGTGGCGCGGCCATATCTAATACATATCAAAGTATTAATATACGAACGAAAATAAAAAAAAGTTGATTTTCTAAAACTTACCATCAAAATCTCCTGAAGGTCCGTGATATACCGACCACGAAGAAATAACTGGTGTGTTCATAGTGAAGTTAGTGTTAAAAGTTCAGACAATTCCTTTATTAAAGTGCGTGTTGAGAAAAATGAAAAAAGAAATCACTAGAAAGGAACTGAATATAAGAAAATGTGGTATTTATGCGTTTTTTTTTTGTGCCATAAAAGACAGTTACGCAGTGTAGAAGTTTTAATACTTTTACAGTGATTCAATATATTTTCACAAAAAGTAAACAGGAAATTAATTCTGGAAAAA